CTGATGAGTCTTGGCGTAATTGATGTGTCACGTCACAGTTTGGAATATAATCTGACGCAGAAGGGGGCGGGACACTCGGTTGTAATCGTTGTGGGAGGAGCAGCGGAGATTCGTGAAATGGGCTTTGACAGCTACGCGCTGATAATGAAACGAAGGAAAGGATTCATCAAACTGGCTTTGCACACTGGGTTTGTATAAGACTAAAAAAAAAAAATGTGAGAAGAATTATCTTGCCTTCAATCGTCAAGCATTCAAACCTAGCTTCGCTCAAACCCAATCCCCCCCTCCCCAAGCCTCGGCTGGAGGATCATTGTGAGGCATCAGGGAGGCATAAGCTGACTTGTTTTCCTTTGGTTTGACTGTTCTGTATCCTTCATTACACGGAGTTTTGGCATGAACTGTGAGCAAGCGGATACATTTATCATTTTCAGGTGCGATCTCGTTCCAGTGTTTGGCTTTGGACAGAATAATCTTTATCATAATTTTATTGGCGTCAGTAGTTGCTTCCAATATTCACGACTTCAGCTGTGGTTCAGAAATTTCACTTCTTGCCTCAGAACTTGTTTTCTTCCGAGACGATCTCCAATCAACGTTGTAGGTGAGCGTGCTTTTCATTTATGAATGTTCTCCTTTTTATTCAAAGCTTTTCTTAAAACTTTTTTTGAACATCTCTTGTATGAATTACATTAGAAGCAACTAGCAGACCTTTGATTTTTGAATGATGTCCGACCACACCGATTGTATGATGGTTATTTTGGTGGTTTTACTTTTCCTTTCCACAGTGGGACCGCCTATTTATGTTTCCAAGGTTGAGAATCCAACGCAGGAAGAGATAGACAAACTTCACGCACGGTACATAGACGAACTGATAGAATTGTACGAGAAATATAAGTACAAGTATCACCCATCAGAGAGATCTGAGTTGTTAATCATCTAATTTACTCTAAACGAAGTTTTTTGTTTTCACCCTCAACGTTTCAACGAGTCGCTGAACACAAAAATTCGGCAATTGGCAAGCATTTCATGAAGCGCATGATAGGAGGGATCGTTTGAATGATAGTCATTTTAAGATTCTGAGAAAGTGTCAAAGCAAATTTGATTGTTTAGTGTTTGAAATGCTTTATATTAAGAAACTAAAACCTAATCTGAACGCGCAAACGGACTCCATACGTGCTAAACTTTTTGTTTAACCCGCAAATTATTTTCTGTCATTGTTCGTTTTTAGTATTAAAAGAACTTATTTTTATACATTCTTGACTTGATAATGACGTTATGTTAACGTCGAAACGTCGTCGATTTTAGCTTTCTATAGCTATTTATCGTTTTTAAATTTTATAATGTTATCAAGCAACGTTTTTTCGCAAGTTTTTATCGTCAAATGTTGTTCCAAGTCACTTCTTCTACGTATACCCTCAATAAAATTTATAAAAAGACGGTTGCTTTTATGGGATCACTCTTTTGTATTTCGTCGGATTCTTAGGAGGCACTCACATGCTGGGCATCTTTACGATGGAAGTTTTCTTTTAGTGTTCTCTGGTACCACTTAACTAACAAAAATTAAGGTATTTCCTTCTTCTGAATTAAGTTTTAAACGCCGCGACTTATCGTAATGGACGTAAGATTTCGGAAAATTGGGGAATATCACGTGGGTGATAATCTCGGATATCAACCAGTTTTAGCTAGGGAATAGTCGGTCCCGTTGTGCGTTTAACCCGTTTGGGAATTCATTCCTCTTCCATTTTTTAATTTATAATCAGAAATATCTTTACAACCGTTCTGTTGACCAAAATGTTTAACCATTTTATCCTTGGTCATTTGTAACAAAAAAGGTTCAAGGTAAAATCGGTATCCATGTGAACTCAGATATAAAAGTATTTCCTCAAATTGGTTAATAAATTGGCCTCTCAGCGACCACAAGAAAGTAGTGACTCAAGTTCCTGTCCTTCCCGTTTGATATCTTACTTTCGATTGTACCTCAAATGGAACCCTTGAACAGAGGATACTAAGAAAAGCAAAATTACACCGTTTTGTAGGCGCTTCCTCTTTCACAAACAATCCATTGAGATGAGACAAAATTAATGTTGTATGCCGTCAAAGCAGCACACACAATTTTTCATGGCTTTTTTTTTTTTTTCAAAATTCCATGGGGAGCAAGATAGCGAGGATATAACCCAGACATTCCGTCGATCCATAATAACTGCAAAGTTACAATTCCACTGTTCCTAAATTTTACCTTATTTACAATCGACGGACAAATCAACGCAAGCTGTGACGTAAAAGTTAGCTCCATGTTCTGCTCATCAGATTGTAAACATCACGCTATGACAGCTACAACTGTTCGTTTTGATCCAAAACCCGAAACATGTCTCCAACTATCGACTACGTTTTGCAATATTTGAGTATAGCACTGCTATACTTCATAGGATTCTCTGGAGGCACACACGTGCTGGGCATCTTTACACTGTACCAACTATTCTTTTATACACCCTTATGGCCGTTTGTACTTCTCTATTTATCATGGACGTATCTTGTTGAGTGGAAAACCCCTGAACGTGGCGGAAGAGACCTCCTGATAAACTTTGCAAGAAGGCTCTCTGTTTTCCAGTACATGAGGGATTACTATCCTATTACCCTCGTCAAAACTAGCGACCTCGATCCGCAGAAGAATTATATTTTTGGATATCATCCCCATGGAGCTTTTTCCGAAGGAGCATCGATAGGATTGAATACAGAAGCATGTGGATTTAGTGAAATATTTCCTGGAATCATTCCGCATCTTTCCGTGACCTCAGGTACGCTAAATGAACTCGAATCGCCATATTATCGATCGGGTTTGGTTGATTATTTTTTACGATTGGAAATTTCAAAATAAACAGCCGAAAGTTTATCAAGCTTTCACAGTCTGTGATTTGTCCGGACTCATTCCTCTTCCATTCTATATTCGAAAATATAAGCACAACCGATCGGTTGACAAAAAGTGCAGCCATTCAATTCTTGGTCATTTGTAACAAAACATGTCGTGGTAAAATCTATAATCCTGGACTTGTGGACTACTGGATTACAGATCGTACCTCGATTTCTCTGTATTCCTTTCGCTCGAATATAACTACATTTCTTCAGATGAATATTCCACCAGCTTTCTAGTGAGCACGTTAAGTATTGACTCAAGTTCCCAGTCCTTCCTTTGTCATCTCCCACTTTGGACTGTGCCTAGAGTGGTCTAAAGTGGAACCCCGCTTGACAGATACTGAATGGCCAAACCACACCCTTGTTTGACCCTTATATGAGAGATGCATTGTTAAAAGAAAAGCAATATTATACGTTTCTAATTTTTTGACTTTCTGGAAATTTTCAATTCAGGTATTCTCAAAGCCTTGTTATACCGTGACATTCTGATGGCCCTGGGCGTAATTGATGTATCACGTCACAGCTTGGAATACAATCTGACACAAAAGGGAAAGGGACACTCGGTTGTAATCGTTGTGGGAGGAGCAGCGGAGATTCATGAAATGGGCTTTGACAGCTACGAGCTGATAATGAAACGAAGGAAAGGATTCATCAAACTGGCTTTGCACACTGGGTTTGTATAAGACTTAGACTTGCTTATCAGTTAGAAAGTCGTTTATTACCCAAGGTTTCGTCGATTTTCTATCACTGAGATTTCCAAGGCATCATTTATTAGCTTATAACTTATTGGGATTTAATTTTTACCGTTTGTTTTATTCGTCTTTTGACTTCTTGTCCGATTTCACCAATAGGTAAGTCTGACGACAATAATGATAGAAAATGAAGGCCTGACGCGAAACACCAAATTCGTACTCAGTTCAAATTTGTAGGGCAAAAGGGAGTTTCTTTCATATTGGGAATTCGCGAAGACGCGAACCGTTTCCGAACCGTTTCTGAACTTGATATCTATTATTTTGTTTTTTTTTTTGAGCTTTTAATTTATTTACATATTTATTCATTGATGTTTAATCCGTCATACTACTTGTTCACTAATTTATCAATTCTTGAGAGGCGCACTCTGGATCTGATATTCTTGATTGTAACTGTTCAGTTCTCCATTACTCAGAGTTTTGAGATGAATTGTAGTCAAAGAGAAATGTTTATCATTTTCAGGTCCGATCTCGTCCCTGTCTTTGGGTTCGGACAAAATAATATTTATCATGTCATTGGCGGCAGTAGATCCTCTCAATTCTCACCACTTCAGCGTTGGCTCAGATCTTTTACTTCTTGCATGGGAACTTGTTTTCTTCCGAGACGATCTCCAATCAACGTTGTTGGTATGAAATTTTAAAATAAGCACTTAATGACTGGGCTTAAAGCGTCAGTGACACCGAAGAGAAACAAAACTCGCTGTTTCTCTGGGCGCTGGTGTTTTGTTTTACCTCACAGCTAAAAAAATTTGACTTCTTCATCTTTTTTTTCTCGACGGACCCATGATAACTGGATCACCTTCACTTGGCAATAAACAAATTTAAAAACTACTACCTTTCTATAACATCAAAGAAATGGTTAGATATTCTAGTCTTCTCGGATAGGGACGAATAAATGGAAGTCCCCTCTCCTACAGGGTTAGGGGTAGGAGACGTTTATTTCCCACGCACGAGACTATTGTGTGATGGATGTCCCCCCCTGGGGTGGGATGGGTGGGATTTATTGGGTGGACTACTCGCATGGTTCGCATATGTTCCGTACTAGTCCTACCCTACTGCGGTAATGCAGTGAAAAATGGTTAGAAACAATATTCTAAGCAGGTCATTTCTGCCATCACCATTATTGATACAATGAGCGTTTATAGATTCAGTAATTATTTGTTCTAAAGAGATTATCAAGATTACCAATTAAGTGCCAGTTTTATTTTCCTGTTCCTCAGTGGGATCAGCTGTTTCTGTGTCCAAGGTTGCCAACCCAACACAGGAAGAGATAGACGAACTTCACGTGCAGTACCTAAAAGCACTTACCGATCTGTACGAGAAAAATAAGGACAAATATCACCCAACAGAGACTTCAGAGTTGTTGATCATCTAGCTATAAATGAAAGTGTCAAAAGTGTTGCTCCAGCATCAATAGACTAGGTGTTTTTTGTTTTGATATTGTTCCGTTTTCTTCTCCCATGCGAAGACCTTGCTTGGCAAGTCTATGGGGACTAGAATGAGCGAGGAACGGTTAAAATTTTCTCTCACCCTTACGTCTTTGCTTATTGCAAACCTTTGTTTTACACTTGCACTTCACTATCCCTTTAGCTCCCAAAATCTTATTAGCAATTCTCCTTACTTTCTGCCATACTATGAGATGATGATTTATTAAAAAATTGGATCAACATTCTTTGAGCTTTGCCAATCCACAGCGCTTGTATGCTGGAGCGTAATAGTAGACTGTTCACTGATTTCTCTCTGTACCTAAATAGCCAGTCCACATTCGTGCAAACGAGATTTTAAGAATATATAAAGAAGAATAAATAAAAAAGGAACACTGTCGCATTGAAAGTCGCAAAAAATGCGACTTTCAAAGCGCTAGTCGGTTGCGCGGCGCGCCTGGAGAGTGGAGAAAAATGAGAGTAAGACTGGGGTAAAAAAAACAAGTCGCGGTCGCATAGTTACGTTTTCGAACTTGAAACAAAGATGGCGTCTGGAAATCCCTTGATAACACTAGAGCGAATGCTAAATGGCAGGACAACGTTAAAAACACAGAAGATGACACACACAAATATAGTGTGTAAGTACAGATGTTTTCTTTTTTGACATTATGTTTATGTAAGAAACACGTCAATTTTGTTAACTTAATCGAACGATGACCGACTCAGCTCAGCTGTTTTCAAAATCGAGCACAAGGATTAAAAATTAAATCTCCAACCAACACAAAAATTTTTTTCTAGATTGTTTGATCTATAATTACTCAAGATTGCAACGAAATTGAGTAGCGTAACAACATTATTGTTCGAATTTTTAAGCACAAGCTTAATTTTAATTTAAAATGCAAGTAAAGGTAAACAGCTACGTTCGAGATACTCTCTTTTTAGTAGTGTGGGTAAGTTTCTGAGAGAAACTTTGGTGCTGCGTCAGTAAAGGGTATTAAAAAATTATTTGATTCTATCAGCAGAGTTGATAATGTGAATTGTCTTCCGTAGAGAGATTCTAAAGCTGACCTTTCAGAGCGAGTAATTAGTTGTCACTATAACGAATGCTAAATGGTAGGATGGCAGCTTTGGCGTACGGCAAACGCTCAAAATCTCAGCTTCGTAATCTCTCTATTGCGTCCAGTTCAGCGTCAGCCCAGCGTTAGCCCAGCAATTCGGGAGTATAAGTTCCAAGTTCCAAGTTCCAATGAACACAGCCAATAGAGACAAAATATCTATTTACTTTTGATTAGCGAAAAGCAGGAGCCTCAAGGCAAAACATGTATTATCAACTTAGGACTTGTCACTACAAAGCTAGCACGCACAGCAACACGGAGAAAGAAGTTAAAAAATTGTTGAAAGGCTTCATATTAGGGGAAAGCCTGCAGGAGCTAGATGCAAAATTAAATACTGAATCATCCTTCATTTTCTTCTGCTTCAGGTGATTTGTTTATTATTAATGAAATGACCCTGTATTTTATTGTTGGTAGGCATTGGAACAGAACTTTTAGATGAAATACAGCAAGTCACGAGAGAAGATAAAGAAAAAGCTGTTCAAGAAGCTGTAAGTTGATGTTAAACATGGCCCACAGCACAGAGTGGGTTTTGTAGAAAAATTTAGGTCCTTTTCCCTTTCCCTGATTCTGTTTCTGTTGAAACTTAAAAATTAAAGCCCCCTTGCAATGAGTGACATGCTTTTCTTCTGAAGTTAAAACAACTCATTAGTTTTAATCCTGTAACTCCCAAGATCTGATTTGTAATTCTCCTGTCTGGCTGCTAGACATTTCCTTGTAAATTAGTGATAAGAATTTGGTGTTGAATCAAGATAACAACTTCAACCTGCCAAGTTTAAGTGTTCTCATTACCTGTTTGCTGAATAATGTAATAATACTAATAATAATAATAATGATAATGATAATAATAATAATATTTATATAGTGTGCACATCAAAAGCTTCTCGTGACACTTTACAATACTATAAAATAACCTAATGCTCATAAATAAAATTCAATAAAACAGAAGAGAATTACTAGTTACAAGTTTTGAAAAGAGAAAAGTCTTGAACGTTCTTTTTAAAAATAGTTACGGAACTAGATTTACGAATTGAAAAAGGAATACTGTTCCACAACTTAGGTGTGCACACAGAAAAAGCTCTGTCCCCGTAGGTCTTTGTCTTTGACCCAGGTTGCACAAGATAGTCCATAGAGCTAGAACGTAAAGATCTTGATGAATTGATAATACAGGGAGAAGACGATGCATGTTAATCACTTCAGGGAGTAATGAAGGGTTAAGGAATATACAGTGAAGCTTTCCCAAATGCAATTAGCAAAGGTGTCTTGACTGTTAAAACTTGTTTAACGAGGTTTTGGCTATTCAGCCTTCCTCGTGATAAATTTACAGGATTTTTTCAACATTTATACTTGACAGATTCAGAATAGCTAATCAAAGGTTTTGGAGTTTATGTCTTTGTTTACCTTTTTTCTTACCTTACTATTACCATTTAAATCTATTTATTAGTTTTTGTTTTGATCAACAAATTTAATTGTTTCTGGATGAACAATAGGTTGCTGCAACTGAAGCAAAAGCAAATGCAGAATTGAAAAAAGCTCTCCAAGAGCAGAGAGAACAGATGGAGGAAGAGAGAGAACAAGCACTGGAGGAAGCTAGATTGGTAAGTACCATTGTCACATATGAGTCTCTCACTGGCTTATCTCTGGAAAAAAAAACAGTGTAGGGGAGGGGAGGCAGAAGGGAGACTGTTATTGAGGGAGGACATAAAAACTACAGCATATCCAGATATCCAAAGACTAGCAAAAACCAACGATAAAAACCGACGTTTCGGTGTCATCATGACGCCATTGTCAAGGAGAAATAAAAAAATAAAGTTTGTGGCAAGGTGTAACACTAAATTAGCATAAACATGTTACGAGCTAATTAAACAAATACTTTTGCGCGAATTGATATCTTCTTTTTTTTAGTTTTCATAATTTATAGTAAGTAAGTAAATAAAACCTTTATTTAGACACGATACGTATTGAAGCTGTGCAGCTTGTGGGGTCGTGTATAAAGTAAAAAGATGCATAAACAATAGTTGTAATATAGTATAAAATAAGACTTACGTATCTATCAAATATTTTTGCTCATGCATGATTGGTTTAAATGCATCACATGACAGAATATTCCCCAGCTAAAACAGGGGGATATCCAAGGATATCACCCATGTGATATTCCCTAGTTTCAAACCTTTTGTCCATTATGATAAGTCTTTGTTTAACATTTAATTCAAGATTCCAGAGCATTTGTGATTGTTACAGGAGATGGGAAATTTTGTTTGTTCATAAAGTTGTGCTAGAGAACACTCAAAACAAAATAAGTCTTATACAACTAACACTAAATTGTTCATACAATTTATTTCATGCAGTTGCAAAATATTTGAAGGATAATAAACACAATAGCCTCTATTTAGCACAAAAAATGTTTATATATTTTGTCCTTGGACATTATCTGTTTCTCAAAGCTCACAGTTTCCCTCTAGCTTCACTCTCGGAACACAGTTTGCTTCTCCAAACAGATAATATCAGCTCACAAATATCCATGCATAATTTTGCACCAAATAGAGGCTACTATTCATCTACCTTCACATGAGAAGGGGTCAAACAGGAAGTGTGCTTCAGAACCTTGTTAAAAAGTTTAGAGTAGAAATTCAGCACCTTTTAAGGTTCCCAACCTTATTGTCAGAAATGTCATCAAATGTGCTAAAAGTGTCCAATGTTACTTGGTATCATTCTGCAACCACTGAGTGATGAGTGCATCTACCGGTATTTCAAAATCTACAGATCATCATTAAGCCCCGTCTACACGAGTAATTTTTATATGGCACGTCTTCTGACTTTCACCATCTTGCTTTTTTCCTTTCCTGTGCAAAATTATTACTGACGCAAATTAACAACAAATATTGTTGCCACATAAAAATTGCTCGTGTAGACGGGGCTTAACACCATTATCATTGAGTTACCGTCTGCCATACAATTCTTACAATTGTAGTTTGAGAATTTATTGTTAAATCAAACCAAATCCCCTGATTTATGATTTTTAATCTTCTATTCACCTTTCTCTTCACATATTGTAGTGGTGTTGGGAGGAGAAACTACTTTTGGTTGCTCTTGCTAGTGATAGGGTAAACTAATTTTTTTTTTTTTTAGCAAGCTGAGGAACAAATGGCAGAAATTAAGTACCGATGTGAAGTGGCAGAAAAAAAGCGGGCTCGCTCAGCGTTGGAAAGATTTCAAGGAGAAAAGAGGGATGCTTTGCAAAAAGCAGCAGAAGAAGCTGAGAAAAAGAACCAAGAGGCTCTGAAAAATCTCACCAAGACGCTCACAAGAAAGCTCAGAAGTGAAGCTGCTCTTCAAAGAGAATTGGCTGTTGGTGAAGCACTTGCAGTTGCTAGGGTAATTTTAAGTCTTTACCAAAAGTTTCTCTTTATAGCATCTGTTCAGTGACTAGAGGATAGCATGTATGAATTGTTTGACTTTGATTTCCTGTAGAAAAATGCCGAGCGACGTCCACAAGAATCAGTCGAAGAAACAGCACTAGAATGTGAAAGAAAAGCTGCAGCAGAAGCGTCAAGAGTAGCTCGGGTCCACCAGAACAAAGTGAATGAACTAAATCAAAGGTAAAAACAATAGGACGTAAAGACAGCAGAGTTACAATAACTCTCAAAAAAGAAACAACAACTTTGAGTTTAAATTTACAAGACATGTTTCGACATTCTCATGTCATCTTCAGTTGCAAATGAGCATTTAACTGTTGTACATTTGAATTTAAATTAAGGTACGTTACAAACTACGTGTCAGGGCTTACGTTACATTTGAATGTTAAAAACGCGAAAGATGTAAATAGCGCGCGCTTGACTAGATCAAAAAATAAATAGATAAATAAAAAAAAAAATAGATGTAATAATAATAAAAATAAATTAAAAGACCAAGGAACAACATAATTAAAAGGAAAGAGACAATTCTAGATGTTTNTTAAGTTAGTCTTCAGTACGTTTAAACTCAGAAACATGTTCAGTGTGAAAGATTCAGTACCGCTAGGTCTACGTTCGCGTGTCATATATAAATTTTCATGTGCTGGCTGTAATGTCAGTTATATTGGTGAGACCACTCGCCACATTTGTACACGAGTTCGTGAGCACCTCTTGTCGGACAAAACTTCGCATATTTACAAGCACCTGCAATCATCAAGGGCCTGTCTTGACTCTTGTGATACTGAATGTTTCACGATCTTAGATTCTGCCGCTTCAAAATACCAAATTAAGATCAAAGAGGCATTGCATATTAAGTGGGAAAAACCTATCCTTAATCAGCAATTGAAACATCTAGAATTGTCTCTTTCCTTTTAATTATGTTGTTCCTTGGTCTTTTAATTTATTTTTATTATTATTACATTTATTTTTTTTATTTATCTATTTATTTTTTGATCTAGTCAAGCGCGCGCTATTTACATCTTTCGCGTTTTTAACATTCAAATGTAACGTAAGCCCTGACACGTAGTTTGTAAGGTACCTTAATTTAAATTGAAATGTACAACAGTTAAATGCTCATTTGCAACTGAAGATGACATGAGAATGTCGAAACATGTCTTGTAAATTTAAACTCAAAGTTGTTGTTTCTTTTTTGAGAGTAAAAACAATACTATTTGATTTGGAAATTCTCGATGAGTCTCTGAACGTCCCATCAGTTTGATTAAAGAAAAATGTGACTGTACTGTACTGTACTGTAGAACCCCTGTTAAACTTTTTAACTCCCAAGATCTGATTGTTAATTCTCCATTCAAGCTGCTACATATTTTCTTGTAAATTAGGTACGAGAATTTGGTGTTAGATCAAGATAATAACTTCTCGTTTCCTGTTTGCCTCCTCATTAATTATCATTACCTGTTTGCTGGATAACGTATGGATGTTATAAATTAAGGTTGAAGGGTTGGTTTGGTAAAAACTCGCCCTTTTTCATCACAAGGAAAAATCCCGGCCCAACTGTAAGCGGAACGCATCAAAATAGGGCGAGACTTCCTTATACGTACTACCCTTACTTGACAAGGTGAAACGACGCTTTATACTTTCCCAGGGCGCGACACTAACTTTTCAACTTACTGGCCAAGTGGCTAGTGACAACTTAGATGTTACAACAATTTCAGTTTGTTTATTTGCCAAACTGGCTTGTGGAAATCGAAAACCACCAGCCAAAACTGAATTTCTATTATTCTGTGGCTTAGTTGGCTACCATTAGTGTCGAGCCCTGCTTTCCACGGTTTTTGATGAGATGGAAAAAGATCACTGTCTCTTCTCCTCTTTTTTGTTCTTGATGGGGGCAGGGAGGGGGGGATGCGGAGTAGCGTTTGCATATAGATAGTGGAACTAGAACAAGGCCAGCGAACAATGAGCCGTGTGTTTGTTTGTGAGGGGATTGGGGGAAGGGAAAGAGGGCGAGAGATGGGATCTATTGATTGGGTATCAAGGTAGACGAGCGATATTGGGAACGAACATCACTTGTCGGTTGTCCTTCCGACGCCCCCACATTTTTCGCCACCCTGCTTTTTCGCCGGTCTCCATTGGCGGGCAACCTGAAATAGGCTTTCTTTGATTCAGTTTGTGAAAAGCTAACGACGTATGATGCACGCTCTGAGCCCACAGACTGCGGTATGCGGATTCTAATCCTATGCTGCACTTTTTTACCAGGATTAATCAGTTGGAAAGAAATTTAGATGCTGAAAACGACGCAAAACTTAAAGTAGAAAATTTGTTTCAAGTAAGTATTAAGTACCGTGTGACGTGAACATTTTGCGGCAGTTTTGTTTTGGCGCATTGTCGATTTTTTTTTGTGTCTTACAGCAACGATTTTTTTTCGGTTTGAGGTGAAGAAAATTTCTGCTGAAAACTAATTTCAATTTAGGATTTGCTATTAAAGCTACAGAACCTTAACAGGCATAAGAAAGGTGATATTCTCAAATTTTATAACATGTTGACGGATATAGAGAAAAGATACATGATAGTTGATTCATCGATAAATATTCTGAGTAGGTCCGAGTACGAATTGAAACTTGATTCGAAATTTGGCGGCCTTCCCGAGGGTGTTTATTTTGCATGGCATAATTCTGCGGTTCGGCAACGAAGCATGAAATCCGCAAAAATCTAAATTCGCAAAATTTTGTTGCTTTAGTAAAGTATTTCTCGAAATACAAAGGTTGGATTAATTTTTTGCACTTTGTTCTCGAATCAAACGGATAAATCTGGCTTTGAAATTTTCTGTCATTCAATATTACACGCATACTTGACATAAAGTATTCATCATTAATGATAGATAAATCGATTGACAAATAATACTAGCAAACAATTGTTTTTTTTATTATTATTATTAGTCATCATTTCTTTTCCTGTGTTGCGTTTTAAGATGCGTATAAGAACTAGAAAAATACTTGTAATTATTCCCAGAAAGACAGATCCAAATTGTCACTTTGTATGTGAAATCTAATGACGAGAAAACCAGAAAAAGTGTGGTTTTTTTTACTTCCTTTTTGAAATCATTCGTGTCCTTTCAGTCTGATTGGCTCGCACAGAACACTTTGAATTCATACATGTGACTTGCGCGACACGCTCGTACGATATTAAAATCAGGCGAGTGATTCTAGACCAAATTACACTACATTCTTTTAAGTACCATTTTTATTAATCGTTTTAGATTCTTTCTCGACTATTTTTTATCAGACAATTTCCAATTTTGAGAATTTTTGTTTGAGGTAACTGAAGAGACATCTGGTTGTGAAATCTGCCTGGTGATGGACCTGTTAATACGCTTTGAACCGCGTTTTCAATTATGCTGTGAAAAGAGTTGTTCGTCAGCTTCTTCGGTAGTTATGGCGCCCATGATAATCTTTACGCCTTCTCCACAATGCCCATATACTCGAAAGCTACTGGAATTTGTTCAGTACCTCGCTTTCTTTCGGGAAAAGCTGTGTTTATAACATTTCTTAATAGGAAACGATTATAGACGCGGTGAAAAAGACGAAAATGTCAATATATGTTTTCAATTTTGAGCCACGCATTCCGTACCTACGCTTAACGTTTTTTAGTGCAAAATATTTGGTCGCCAATAACAGCAAGATCCTTGTCGTCGAATCTGTAATTTAGCAAATTGGCTTTTCTGTTATCAGTTTAAAATGTGCTGCAAGCAAGTACTGAACGAAGAATTCCAACACAACCACAAAGAGGCGACTTCACATCGTGGCTTGCCGCCCTAAGACATGTACAATAATTTCTACCTGTTACTAGACATAAACAATGCCATGCTTTGTCTCAAGAGAAACCTCTGCCGATATCTTTGATAACGTTTAGAAGAACTCTGGCCGCTTCGATTGCAGATTATCATTCTCAAACTCAGTTTAAAGACTAAAGTCATTTTAAAAAGTTTCAACCAGCTGTAAAAACATTTGATGCGGCAAAAAGTTATCGAAATTCCGTTTGTGATACGCTTCAAGCTTGTAGAACCCGTTTATAGAGCCAAAAAAGCTAGAAGTTGTTTAGATTGAAGATTGTGGTCATAGTTTTCTCTAAATCTGTGAGGTAAAGCTGAAATTTCGCGTCAGGAAACCCCAAAAGAAAGCCCTCTTTATATTTACTAACAATTCTTGAATCAGATTAAACTTACACATTGTTTACATTGAAAGATTTATTAAATCTAAAGAAAAATAAAAATCCATCATAAATGTAACACAATTTTGTTTTGTTTTTTTTGATAGGAAATGAAAGAAGACTACAAGAGATTTCAGAATTATACCAGAGGATTTCATTCGGACTTTCTTATGAAATAACCAACGTATTTCTGTGGGATTATTTTAAGTGTTTGTAAATATTCAGAAGGTACTCAGTACAAAAAGTCATAACAAGTTCTAGAAGAGTAATCCACGCCCACGGGCGATTTCGCAGAATCAAATAAGTGAATTTATTTTGTTCACGGAGAAAAAAAAAAAAATTAATTCTCTCTTCTTACGACGAGGGCATTATAATTGTTCCCAGAAAGCATTATTTATACATGAGAAATTATTAATAGTTTTGATTTTGAAATTTATTCGAAAAAAAAAAAGTTTGGAACATACGAAGACCGTGCTTCTCTATTTAACTAATTGATTTGGACGAAAGTAATTTATTTTTTTCCCTTGACCAGAATTTCTATTAGTTTTTGACTCCTCGAACACTACTATGTTCAGTTAAAAATTCACCCCTTGGTAGCTAGTGGTATAATTAATCCCCAATACGTTTATTCGTCATTTGCCATTTCAAACGTACCCAAAGAAAATAAATTTGCACGACTCTTTAAATTAAAGATTGGGTTAAAAAAAACCAAACAAACAAACAAAAAAATCCTGCCTTAATCTCGATGGACAGATTCTTTAACCAGTAACCAAAATTAATTTGTTCTCTATCGGGTTCTGGTTGATAGCCCACTGGGCTTTGCCATAACAAGACATTGTTTTGCATACTGTAGACTCGCCATTAATGTACGTATTTCCAAAGTAATGAAACCACAAGAGTGGAATTCCCTGGGCGGTCGCGAACGGAACATCAATTTCAAATCCTTTTGTAGTTTTTTGTGTAAGCCTGATGGACGGTTTTACAATTGGAAACAAAAGATGAACAAAAAAAAAATCGCAACCGTTCAACTCCGCGATCGATCACTGATGGCAAAGATAAGTTTAAACGTTATAATTTATGCATTACTCCTCAACGACATTAAAGTACTTTTTTTATCGTAAATTTCTTTTAATAAATTCAATGCATTATTTCCTGAAAGTCCCCCTTATTTTGACGGCGTTAATTCCATTACTACTATCTGTAGTAATTATGTCTTTGAGGGATATCTTGACTGGAGTTCAAAAGTGAATCGAATCCACTTGCGGCCTCAGATGTCCCGTGATTTTCACAAACCTCGTCCTTTTCCAGCATGTTCTTGTAATAAAGAGTATTGAAATTCGATACAAAGGTTAAAACAGGAAGAGCGAGAGTTACCGCGCCAAATATTGCACAAGCGGCCGACATTAGTTTTGCCAAAGGGCTGTGAGGGACCATGTCCCCATAACCTATGGTTGTAATCGTCTGTATTGAGAACCAAAACGTTGCAGGTACACTATGGAAATCCGTTTCGTCACTTCCCACTTCGATATAATACAAAAGGCTAGCTGTAACAATTACGCTAAAAAATAGACACAGAATTAAAAGCCCTAACTCTCTGAAGCTCTCGATCACGCAATACCCAATTATCTGAAGGCTCCTAGAGTAACGAGAGAGCTTGAAGATTCTAAAAACACGAACGATCCGTAATATTCGTAGCGCTGCCACTGAGCTTGATTCGGACTTGGTGAGGAGAAGCGAGACGTAGAACGGTGCGATAGCTACCACATCGATAAAGTTCAAAATCGACGTAAAAAAAGTGCACTTGTTCGGGGAAGTGAACAGCCGAACTAAATATTCGATTGTAAACCAAGTGTTGAAAGCTAATTCTAGAAGAAACCAGGTGTCTTCGCTCCATGTAGGCTCCTTTGTGGTGTCTGCAAAATTAGCGAAGTCGGCTTTCTTTTCTCTTATCGAGGGAACAGTTTCTGCGATAGAGACTGCGATTGCCACGATGATAACGCTGACAGAAAATACGGCTAAACACGATGCCGCAATTGACGTGTCGGGCTGGTCAAAGAGTTGCCAGATTTTGCGCTGAAGTTTATTTTCAGGAAGTTCTCGTGGGTTTTCCTTTATGCTTAGATACCCTTCCTTTAGTCGAATGTCACTCAAAACTTCGTTTCCCAGTTCGAAAAATTCAATTTCTTGCTGGAAAATACACATCGGGACTTCAGCCGGCCGCCTGAGTCGACCACTGGATTGGTAATAATAAAGGATAGCCTCAAAGGCCGATCGATTGCGGTTGAAGAAGTACTCTTTAAATTCCGGCACGTAGAACTTGCTTCGCTTCTCTTCGTTGCCCAGGAGCGTGTCTGGAAAACGTGATAACGTCGTCTGACGCGTTTCAAATATCATGCCGCTCACGTTTATCACTACACGGTCGTCGTAGATAACGGTTCGTAACGAATCGTGTACAGAGCACATCTTGAACGCTGTTATTTGCCTTTTGAAGGTGCACCCTGCACCAAAGCGGCGTGACAGCCAGGAGCTTATAATTTGATGGAATTTCACGTAGAAAATGAGTCATTTAATAGACCGCTTGAAAGTAAACAATTTAGCATACCCAGAGCAGGTTACGCGCCTTGTCAGTATCAGTTGTCAGTTCGCTCGCTGGATGTTTAAGGTAGAAGTGTCGGATGAATTATTTATGCAACATTCTCGTAGCTCGTCTTCAACGCTTGGAGCTACAATGGAAAGGAATCGTGGGATGTCAGAATGTGATTTATTCTACCTGTAGGTTTATAGTGGTCACATTCAAAGGTTTGATTTTTGTCTGAATAATAAAAGTCCGGCGCTAAAGAAAAACTAATGCATAATTCGGGAAAAAAGAATGATTTTCTAGTGTTCTTATGTGTAAATTCAGTGACACCTGTACTTAAAAAAAAACTGGTGTTTTTTTATCACCAAACCACAACATTTGTTGTTCCTGAATTGATATAATTGTATCCTATTCACCAATTCTTTGGGCAAATTTTATTTCACAAGAGCATCTCATAGTATAGATAGACACATTTGCATCGCAGAGCGGTGGGCAAATTATTACGAAGTCCAACTCTTTGGAATTGAAATTTGACGAAAGAGACATTTTTGTATCAGTATCTCCACATTTGATGATAAGATCATCTGAACAGCGCGACATAAAAATAAAAAACCGCGAATTCGAGTTGGGGAAATGGGAGTTTACACATTATTTACAATGAATTTGATTCAACTCGCCGAAGGATCGATCTGTGCGGCGCAAGAAAATTACATGTCTATCATTTCAAAATAGCTTTGTTTAACGTTTACAATTATAACTAGACCAAAGATTTTATTCAAAGCCTCCTTTGGGCTGGAGGCGAAATTAATTCGTCAAAAATTCGCCCCGAACTCCCAAGTCGAAATCTTCAGCCACTCTTTCAACATGCACCGTTTTTGTGTTTAAATTGACGTAAAATAGCTTACCATATTATAAGTTTGAGTTCCTCAAAACGATATTCAAACATTGCTCTTCCTCAAGCTTCTTGAGTACTTGATTTTTTTCATATAGGGCTGGACTAATCTGTAATGAAAATTAGTAAGGTTCTTCAGCGCAAATGACAGCACCTTGGTAACGGATTATATTGAAGCGCTTACCAAAAACACTTAGTCGTTGAAGGATGTATACTGATAGGAGAGTGTCTGTGCGTTAAGTCGAATGATCTTGAAGTTTTATTGGAATTGGACGCCGTTGTTTTTCCAATTTTGGAAAAAGCCAGCAGATGATTGAGGTTAATCAATAAGAGGCTCAGTCAAATTGCCGCCGAACTGTTAACATTCCAACCTTAGTTTGGATCATTTTAAGTCCTTTCATAACATAAATTACGCTTCCTGTCAAAAGATATGAAACTTTAACAAATAATTTGCATTTTAATTAATGCTATTTTTCGTGGAATTTCTTGTGTTTAAGTAGGAAAATTGGAAACGAGTGGATAAAAAAGGGAACGCATTTTGCCAAGGGGCGTGAGAGCATATAGATGCAGGACGAGTTGGCGGGTGACTACAAGGTTGCTGCCAAGTTGAAAACAACAAATTAAAGAAAAAGAAGCCAAAATTTGTTATTTTAAGTACAAAGGAAATTGCGAGAGTGTAAAATTTGCTTAAAATGCTCAAAAACCATGGACTAAGAAATCATCACTCGTTACTCATGATCCTTGACAAGTGGTCTGTGAATTAAAATTAACACGTCGTTGAAGCGTGTTGATGGCCAAGTGACAGTAATGGCTAACGACATAACATTCAGAATCGTAATCACAAGACGCGTACTTAATATTTCTGAAGGAAACGCCGAAAAAAGAAAAAATTTGCAAGACACATGACGCCGATGGAGAAAATTATGAATTTATCTATTTTTGTCTATTGTGTTGGTCAATGAACTTCCTAGGATCTATAGATTTGCTGTTGTTATCACCTACTCGTCTCGTTGTTTTCGTTCACACTTAACCATTGTCACCAGAGCAATCTGCCAGTTTGTAATTTCTTTCATAATTATGACCGTTGTGTCGCTACTAAGAAACAAGTCTGTCTTACTCAACCGAGAAAATTCGCCAGACCCTGGCGGCTTAGGGATTAAAAAAAAAAAAAAAAAAAAAAAGCCACAGAACTGTGGCGGAGTAACTCGGCAAGGGAGCAGATTGTTGGACAACACCGCTAGAGCAGCGAGGAACCTGCGTTGGTGAAAGCTGGTTTAATCGTCGCAAACTCGATGCGTGCGGTTTTTGCCTCGCTCCAGTGATGGTCTCATGTCATACACCGCGTCAAGGCTCGTGTGATGTACGCTACTGTGAAAATAATTTAAACTGCCAATGGTACGCGTTCTCAATTTGGTTTTAGTCTGATGCGATCGATGCCTCAAAAATGTTTCCTCCGTAAAAATATCCAAGAATCGTGACTTTAATGTATACTCTTAAGTCAGGTATCCGAGTAAGGACTGGAACCTATTATTATTTTCCATATCCCAACTTACCGAAAAAAAAAAAAAAAAGGGTTCCAGTCCCTAATCGGAAACATGATTTTAAAGTATCCATATAATTTTCATTCACTATGAAGAAGGACTAACGCTCGAAACGTCAGCCTATGAACTCTTTACGGTGGCCAATTTACAATTTCAACTTAGTTGATATACCAAATTACCTTGTTACCCCCACCGACGCAGCACCACAGTTTCTTTAGAAACCGTACCCCCCATATACTTTTCACGTGACTCGTTCCCAGTCGTCTTCAGAATGTGGACGACACAAAAGCGCAAGGGGTGGTAAAAAGTAAGAAAACGAGAGAGGAAGTGGCCTCTTTCTTTTTCCCATCAGCCCTTTCTCTCACGCTGCGGTCCCGGGTCCACGCGCCTTCTTTTCTGAAGACTGGAGTCAAAGAAAATTGTCCTAATCGGCAAAGGTTACAGCTGAGAAAAAGGAAGAATTGGAATCTAAAAAAAAAACCCGGTAGAGAAGACAAAATTCGAAAGCTTAAACTTCACTTCCCTATAAAAAGTGCAAAGTTCCTCAAGCCACAGAGAATCCAATGGCGTGAGAGGTTTACGCTATTACACCGACAAGAGATTGCCGGCAAACCTAATATATTTTGAGAACTATATTTTGAACAAATTGATTTTCTAATTTTCGTTTCTCGTCAAACGACACCTTTGAGGTATTATTTTCGCGCGACGACTTAAACATCATAATTTGTATGAACTCACTTGAGAAAAATTGCTGTTTGTTAATGGACCTATCATAATTAATTCTCTCTTTATACTCTATATGTAAAACATGTGCGTTGAAAGAGCACGGGAATAACATATACGCAACCGCGACATTTTCGTATGAATGAGGCCCTGAATGTTAATTTGTTATGGACTCCCTAATTTACACAGATCTTCAATAATATAATTTTGGCCCAAAGATGCATTTGGCTGGAATCAAGAATCTACACTGTAACTTTCAGGTCTCTTGTAAGCGACCACCAACTGCAGGCCGCTCAAGTATTACAGCTGGTTTATGTGGTGTACCATCGCAGGTTCAACTCACTTGTAAGGCTGCGAAAGTCTTTTTTCCAGTATGCTATCTTTCAAATCGTTGAAGCCTTCTTCTACGAATTTCATCCAGCGAACTTTCTTGGGGCGTGACACTATCCGTGGGGAACGGCGCATGTCTCCCTGGGTATCCGTTAACATTGTGTTCCTGCGGGGAAGCAGAAGGTTCTGGCACCATAGAGTAGGATCCCGCCGCCCTCGAGGGGTACGATGGAGACTGCGCAAACGCCCCGCCTGTATGAGGAGGTAGATCCGGAAGTCGGGGATAAAGACCTTCTCGATCTCGAGGGTACGGTGGAACTTCCTGGGAGGGGTAGGCTAGAGGCCCCTGTGACGGGTAGGGTGGCAGCCGCGAAGAAACATCACCAGATGAAGTTTGCGACCAAGAATTATAACGGCCCCCATTTTGAGGAGGGTATGGTGGAGATCTGGGAGATGGCTCTCTTCTCTGAGGCCGCTGGTTATCAGACCACCGAGAAGGCTCCCCTCCAGGGTTATCTAGGCTCTCTCTTATCGCCGTCTGTATCCGTGGGTCGTAATCATCCAGGTCTGGCTGTCGATTCATGTGTGTTTCCCGGAGGCTTGCCCTTATAGCCTCTCGGAGTTCTTCATCTGCGGAATCAGAATCACCCGGAGGCTGTCGGTTTCCTCTTCGTCCTATAGAAAGATTGGACCAAAGACGAGGAGTGTGTCACTTAGGTTGTGATTACAGCTTTAACCAAGGCTACAGTAATGGAAAACAACTAGGCTACTTTAAAACACCTGAGTATACGTTAAAATGCTATGTAGCATTTTTAGCCAAAACTGCTTCCTAATCCACAGTGAAGATGTCTCTTGTAGGCCATCCCTGGCTTAAATTTAAATTTTAATAATACTCATTTCATGAACTTATTGGATGAGTGCTCACTTGTGTGGTATACAGTGGCAGATCTGCACCTTGAGCTAAGAGGGAGTGGGAGGAAATTTTTTTGTGTGCACACCTGCCAGCTTTTCTTCCTTCTGCATTATTTTATTTTTTTACCCAAAATAAGGGTCCCCCACCCCTTGGCTACCCCCTTGATCTACCACTAGTAAATACTTCTGAGAATTATGGAACATGTGAATATTGTACAATTTGTACTCATCCTATTTAATAAAGAGAGGAAACATTAAATTTGTATCCACAGGCAAGCTTTCTCTGAATTTTTTAACCTTTCACTACAACAGTTTTTTTGGTTCATTTCTTTGTACCTGTTGTCCCTACATGGTATGTGTAGGAGCGTCTCATTCCTCTCGTCAACCCTGATCCTGCGAAAAAAGGGGATAAAGCACTCTAAGTTTAGACAAAGAAATGTGATACATATAACCTAAAAATTTTAATTCATCATTACAAACAAATAGAAATAAACACTTCTTCCCTTGTCTAAGTCTTATTTCAGTGAAAAAGGAGGTTCTCACCATTACTTATATTAGATCATCACAATAAATTCCAAGCTATAACACAACCTGGAACAGCTCTTTGCCAAGAAACAGAAGTGGATTAAGTTATGAACCAATTAGAGGATCATTATTAAAACAACTTGAACAGGTAGGCTGAGGGTCTTGGAACACAGCTTAAATTTCCTTTTAACTTATTCATGAGTATTAATTCATAAATGGACAGTAAACTATTTTTCTTGTGTCTTTTTTTTTTTTTTAATTATTGAAATATCGCATCATTTTCGAAAGAAAATTTAAATGTGTGATGCGGTTAGAGTAATGAGGTGATTTAATAGGAAAGCAAAGTTGCAAAAAATATATTTCCTGGGCTAGTTAGTTTCTTATCTTGTATACAAGGCCAGGGAGAGGAACCATCCCTACATTGGGGATTGAAAAACCTCCTCAATAGTTTTCATTAGGAGAACATACGGTTAAATTCAGGTCTGGCAGGTACAGAACATTAATAAATTGGCAAAAAGATGTGGTTGATTAGCAACCCAAGCAAGTAGGCTGTGTTCATCTTAATCACTTTGGGTCCCTTTCTTTGTTCCCACAAATAAAACGCCTTTGACAAAACAAATTCACCATGCACGGGACAAGCTTCAATCACTTACAAAATTGTGGACACTCAACTATTAAGATGATTAAAATTTTGGAATAGAATACCACTGTCACCCCTAATATCCTTACTATCTCCTCTCTTCTTCTATAATGCTGCTCTTTGTTCTTTGAACAGCTGAAGGGGGGTATGCCAGTCATTCTCAAACTTTCTTTAGGGTGGCTTTGCGAATGTTACGTGTACACTAATTTTTTTGTGGGTTGTCTTGCAATCAAAGTAGCCAGCTATTGGTAAATTCTATTCCTTTGATTTTGTCCTGAGGACTCAATTGACTGAAGCACTTCAGACAATATCTACCTAGCTTGCCCTCACACCAGTCAAATAACACAAATATATACCTACCTGCACCACTGATTGTGTCCATGATAAACTTCAAAGGACCTTTAACATACATGAATCCCACAAGAATACCAGCTAAATGACCAGTAAATGAAACATTTGGAAACAGGATCTGAATGACAATCAACTCCACCCAACAAGCCCACCTCCTGGGCACAGGGAACATACCCATTACCATGGACACACCAGAAGGAAGGTTGTACGTTGTAAGAACTTTAAGAGAAAAGATGACACCTGAAAAACCTGCGGCACAGGTGTATATGTAGGAATAGTCCTCGGTTATATTTGCCAAGGCAATGTCTAAGGCCACAAGAACGCTGTTGGTTACGACAATGAACACGGACAAGATGTACAGAAATTTCGCACTTCCCATCTTAGCTTCAAGCGACCTGCCCTTCCAAACGAACGAGGCCATGTTGTAGTACAGATGAAAGTCGTCGAAGTGATAAAAAGCAGCGAAAATGATTCGCTTATAATCGCCATCGTACCAGACATGATGTGCACTAACACAAGCTTTTCCGAGAGGTGGAAGGTTTTTCAGAAGCTGGAGATAAACCGCGACGTTTATACCGATGAAAGACAGTGTCACTGGAGGAATCCTGTTGAAACCGATGTTGTAGAGCTGGCTGACCAAAAATAACAAACCGATCCCTGGGGATCTTCTTCGCCCTGGGCGAAACATTGTTTATCATAAAATATCAAGAAGCAAAGTTTCTCTTAAACCTGACTTTTTGCGATTTCGTTTCGTTTGACACTTCAAAATACAGGTGTACCTAAGTGGCCCTCTACTCTAAAGTGGCTCCCTAGAGAACAGTTCCTCTTTTATATTTTTGTTACTCTGACGTGTAAAAATTATGTTCGATTGGAAAATGCCTTACTCATCGCTTTTCAACCCGCCCGCCATCTTTGGTAATCTCAAGAAGGAATACTTGTTGATTAGAGCCTGGGTAGGGTAGTGTTGAAAATTCGCCTTGTATATATTAAATTTTCAAGGCAATCTAAGAATACTGAGAGACCCTTTCATTGAAATAAGAAAGAAATGAAATGATAGGGACAACACTTTTATTTCAATAAAGGAAAATGTATAGCCTTGATATACTGTGAAAAAACACTCCCCCTCTCCCCTCCCCTATTCTGAGATTTAATCCTAATGAGTTTATGGCCGTTTTAAATACCAGCGGTTATTTCCGATGTTGCATACACGTCATATTCAACAAATTGAAGTATATCGGGAACACTTGGAACTCTCGCAACCAATACAGTACAGTACAGGGTCATGCAGGTCGATCTTCGTTTCAGTTATTCACTCAGAGGAGAAGAGACTAGTGTATAATAGGGGTTAGCTGGAGAGTATCCTTTATCTATGCTTAAATTTCATTTTTGATGCCACATACGGTATCACAGCCAACCTGAATACTTGATTTCAATCTTGATCAAGCACAAACTTTTAAGAGGTTTATAATCAGAAAAGTTAAAAGGAAAGAAAAAAAAAAAAAAAACACCGGTGAACACCTGAAGCTTTGTAAAAATCAGAATGGTTTCAAGAAATGATCAAATATCAACAACAACAGAGGAAAACTTTTATTTTTCAGAATTTAGTACAATGGATGCCGAGGGAGAATGCCTTACGTCAAACGCCAGTTTGGACTTTGCGATGTGTGAAGTGCGGTGATCATTGCGGTGATCACTGCGGTGATTACTGCTTGGCAGCCTATCAATCTCTAATACCTTTTGAATTTCTGAGAGGTTTTGAGTTCAAAGAATTTACTAGCTAGGGAATTAAATTCTTCGTATGGTAATATGAAATTGAGGACCCCGATACATAGAGCAAGAGCACTATTGTCGGTGAAAAGATTTAAAACATCGATATTGTCTCGGCCTTTTCTCAACTAGTTTACGAATAATCATCGAAAACCGGGGTCGAAATCATTTACCCTGAGAAGGAGCTCGAGCTAATCACATTAACTCCACGTGGCCTTCACTAAGAAGGGACTATGATATATGGCTGAAATGGAACAAAGGCTCCCTTTTCGTGACAGACAATGATCCACCTAGGTCGCACAAAGGCCAGGGAAGGGTTTTCATCGAGAGCCTGGGAAGAAGAGGAAAAACAAATTGTTATGTTTATGGAACACCTCAAAGAGAGACTATGGCAACTATAGATTTGGCTAAGATATGTCGATTTCTAGATTTTTTTCTAGTTCTTATAGTTCTATAGATAAACGAAATTCTCTTTGCCCTGGACCCCGCATCGAGAAATTCCGTAAAAAAGAATTCAGTTCCCTCTTCTTCTCCAGTCATTTTATCGGCGAAAATAGTCTTCGTGGAGTTGTACATGAATTCAGAATTCATAGACTCAGAACAACGGATTATGAATTAATGAATTCAGAATTCATGGACTCAAACAACGGATCAAGGTGTAAGTCTTAACGTGGTTCGTCTGCTTATGAAATCTCATGGGTAACAAAAAAGAGGGAAGAGCTAACTAGTAAACTTTACTCACCTCATCAAAGTGTTTGTCCCAACTTTCGTTGGTGATAACAAAGTCCACATTATCACTCATGTAATCTTCTATAGTTCTGCAGGGAATGAAAAGAGTCAACGGAGACAGTTCTGAGGATTGAGAAGAAATTTACGAGAAAAAGACGATCACTCGGCCCTTTGACGCTTGCAAAAACGTCCTGCAATCAAACAGACTTTTTTATTATTATTATTATTATTATTTGATTATTACCCGTTATAAGCAGTGATGTATCTTATCAACAGTCTTCTGGTCTTGCCATCAATTTCACCATAAAGCATGAAATGCTTATGAGAGAAGAAGTCTGGTAACGGGGGAAGGTCCCCTGAGTCTGAGGTAA